GAAGAGTTACAGTAGGTACCTGAAAGCGTTAGTCCGTGAGGGTGCCCTTTGACTTGCCCCGCTTTCTGATCTGCGGTTGATCAGCACAGTCCTTAAGGCAGGACCTGCCAATAACTGTTGTGTTTTCGTGTGATATGGTGAGTTTGATACAGAATGAGCTTATGGATCTCCTCTATATCGAATGACAATAGTATCTAAAACCTGGGAAGATAGGACACTGATGGCAGACAGCTCTTTGGTGTTTACTGTGGCAGTTAATGAACTATATCACTTTATGGTAAAATGGGACAAATGTTAGGTTTTTTTCCTTACACAGATTTTGAGGGAGAGAAAAAAAAATCTCAGATTTTGTCATTTATCTGTGGTTTGCCCAAAATTGCTTTTGGGACAGTTCATTGAAACTTAGAATTATACGTTACCTTGTTACTAGTAACATTGATTCTTTTGTCTAATAGCTTTTGAAAAAGATGTCCAATAGCTAATTTCAGGCAAGAATGTTTTGTCTTAGCCAAATGGATTCTAGTTACTTCCTCTGACAATGTTTCTGGCAACAAGCTGTGCAGATGTATGAGCAGAGCTCATATGTGTGTGTCTGTATATGTCGGGCACAATTCTAAAAATGTTAACAGATCTAATTCTCCTTCTAATTATAATAATGTGTCTTCACAGATTTCACTGGCCTGATTTGAAAAAAGAATCAGCCCTTATGGGTGCAGGGTCCCACCTCCCTCTGAGGATTTTTCTGGCTCTTAAATTTCCGAAGAAAACTTACTAAGCCTTGACCAAATTCTGTCGTATGTGGTAACCTGAACACATCATTTGGTACCATAGGCAGCTGTAGGAATAAACAAGATAGAAAATAAAATGGCGAAAATGCTTCATTTTTTTCCTTTGGTTTTTGGCAGCGGTGAAATCAGTAGATACTCGTGTTAAAGTGGTCTGATCATATAAGACTCTTCATGCTGGATAGCTGTTTCTGATCAAACTGTTCTGGAAAGCTTCATTTGCTTCATTTGATCATTTAAACCGTGAGGGCAGTGCAAAATGTTTATTAAAATAATAATCTAGTGACTCTGGGAAGAGGAGCTAAGCTGGTTGTGCATTAAGGATGTCTACAAGACACCTGCAAAGAGCACTTCAGCTTTAGCCTTGCTTGAAGGCCTGTCAGTTTCTACATGAACAGCTGGGACTTGCTAAAATTTCATAACTACACTCAGCAAAAGTTCAATCCCTAATTAACTTGTATGAAGAACCTAAAACTTCTTAGGCTGATTTGATTATATTTCTGTAATTCCTCAAACTGCTGAGTGTTCTTGTTTTTTCTTACAGCAACTGCTTGTGATGGGAACTGTGTCCATGCCTTCATTATGGGTCATGGATTCACTGAATAACTTGGGTTAGGAGACACTATGGCTGTTTGATGTTAGATCATGTTGTTCACAGTGCTATCAAGTTTCTGGTACCTCCAAGGATGGAGATACCAGATCCTCTCTGGGCAGCAGTTCCAGTATACCACCACCATCATGATGGTGGCTTATTTTTCTAATACAAAAACTGGAATTTCTCATGTTGCACCTTACCTGTTGCTTCCCATTCTTTCTGCACTTTCAAAAAGAACCTGGCTTTTTCTGTACTGCTCCGACAGGCAACAGAAGACAGCAGTAAGATTCACCCTTTACTTGTCATCTCTTAAGGGCCCAACAGATCTCTTCCTTTAGCCTCTTCTTGTACATCATTTGCTACAGGCTCTTAGCTACCCATATTGCCACCCCCCCAGAGGACTTGCCATGCTATCTGGTTAGTACCAGCAAGTCCCAAAATCTACCCTCACAAGTAGAGGGTGGAGAATTGAAGAAGTTCTGAGCAGAGCCAACTGGACCTATTACTATGCTATTGGAAAAAAACACCCCTATATATTTATAGACCTTATCGCTAGAAATGGCTGAATGTCAAGATCTCTGAAATGACAATGGAGAATGAAAAGTGGATTGTTTTTTCTTTGTTTTGTTTTCTTTCTTTCCCCCCTCAAACAGAGGCTAAACTCAGTACCACTGTGTTTTCTGTTGCAGGTTCTTTTTCATCTTTATAGACAAGCCAAATATATTCCATTTGTGGCTAAAAAGTATTTTAGTGTGTGCATTCTGTGCGGGTTAATGCTGCTGAAAGTTAAAGAAGTAGCAATGTTTTAAGCTTAAAGTATTGCCATATGCTCACTATGAAGTAGTGCAAGTTTATCAAATGACAGTTTTATTAGCAGAGGGGATTGGAATTATTCTTCTTTCTTAGCACACACACTTGTCTGTTTAAACAGTTCTCTTTCTGGTTGCAGTAAAGGCCTACACATTAATTGCTAAGATACATTTCCAAAGTAAAGCAACATGTGAAGGTGTGTGGTTTTTCTGCATGATGGTATGAATGTGCAAAACACATTTTGATTCATGAGCTATAACTACCTAGCAAAAATGTTAGTAAGGAGGGGAAAAATTACTTGGTAGGTTAGCAGTGTTTTAATTTTGGTAATGTCTGAAAAATAACACTCCAGATTTTCATCTTCTGTCTGTTTTTGTTTGCACTCAGTTTCATGGCATATGATTGCACTGAATTTATTAGAATGATTAGAAAAGATGTTTTCAGAAATATTTCAGGCAACAAGGGTTGCCTCTGCAGAGGCACCCAGGTAGTCTGCTGAATGACTGATATAGAGAATTCTTCTATGCAAGACTTTTCCATAACCTTTTTTAGGATTACTGTAATATAAAGAACTTGAAGAAATAGTTTTGAAGTTCATGTATTAATTCCTTGTCGTTTACCACATACTTGGCTCCTCCTGTCTGTAAAACCTTGAAGTGCGCTGGTTTAAGATAGAAAAGAGTATATTTGTCTTCAGTTAATATGAATTGCAATGTCAGTCTAAAGAATGATCTTCTGATATTTCAAGGGGGATACTGTAGAAACAATTTTACTTATGTAACAGATAAAGAATCTGTATTGTAGGAGTGATACTTACTATTGTAGCATAATCAAAGTAGGTAGATCTAGCAAACTCAACAAGAGCTCAGGATGTGCAGTCGCTGCTCAGATAAGTTCATTTATATGAACCAAATCCAAGCCAAGTGGAGCATCAGTGATCAGGCTGCCTGCTTCTACCTTTCTGTGTGTTTCCACCTGATTTTCCTTCCTTCCCCCACAATGCGTACTAGTTTCTCTTTGTTTCAGCAAAAATTATTAGATCCTGGAAATACAGTGGTGTTATCCAATAAAAATCCTTTAAAAACAGAGCTTTTTGAATCTGTTCTCAAAGAGACATGTAAGACCAGAAAATACATATCCTGAATTAATAATGAATGTTCATATAGTACACTCCAGATGTAGTGCAGTAGTGATAACCACTCTATTAAATAGAGCAAGCGGCACATTTCTCTAAAAACTGCAACATCTAGTGAAGGTGAGAGAACATATAAAAGTCTCAACATAAGATGTGGCAAGCATCATGGTAGTTCTGCAGTTTGAGGACTGAGGGAAAAATGAACCTGGTTATTTCTGGAATTGGAGTAAATGAGGTGGAAAGGAACAGGAGTAATAGTTTGACAAGTACAGAAGGCGAAAAGATTAGAGCAAACAGCTAATTAACACATGGGAGACAATGTTGTTTAAAAAGAAAGGGAAAAAAATGCAGAAAGCTTTTTGCTGACTTATGTTGCCTAGATTATATGCTTTTATCTGTATTTAAAGCTCTCCTCTCTTTGGTCTCTGACATGCCCAAGTCTGTTTTCCAGAGCTCAAAATTGGAAAGACATGGGGAACTACCTGGCTGGTGTAATTCAAGCGTGGAGTTTCTCTTGCATGTTTTTGTACATGAGAGTGGTCTTAAATAAGCCTGATTTTGCAAAGAACTTCTAGTTCAGTGGTACTACTGTATTATTATGTTGTTTACAGTTATTTATCTTCTGCAGTTCCAGATGCCAATTAATGAACTATAGGATATTGTGCAATAAATTTCAAAGATAAGATTTTTTTAAAGACATGAATTATTTTAACCATCTAGATGAAAAATATATCAAAGCATTTTTGGTGTGGTTTTTTTCTTTATTTTTCATGAGCTGTTCCAGTATCTGAATTCAAGAAGATATTTCAGAGTGAAATTTGAATAAAAGATGGCTTTCTGGTGTGTTGTACTGTACCGAGTGGATCAGTTGCCCCAACTGCAAAATACAGAAATTAGCTAGTGATGTAAGATGACAGTACAGCTTTTGGGGTTGTGGGACAGTAATGGGTCTTACGTCTTACTTGTACAAAATTACTCTAAGTATTAAGAAACCAATATCTCGCTAGTATCAGCCAGGCTTAATGAATTGTCTTTAGTGATGTTTTAGTAAAAGATATAAATATTTTTTTTCCATTTGTTTTATCCCCAAAATGAATCAAAACATTTATTTGGGGAAATTATCTTATAATCAGTATTGCAATGTAAGTATAGCTTATCCAAAATCCTGGTTTTTATGTGAAGGTAAAACTGCTAACAAGATGGGAAGTGTAAGGTGATTTTTGTGAAGCTGTACAATGGAAGGTTTTCTGGTTAGTTAATGATATGGCATTGAACATAGGAGATTCATGCATTTTCTTAAGCAGCAGATGGAGGACAAACAGGATAGTCCATGCTGTCTCAAATAGCATTATGTATCTCTCTGAGTCAAGGCCTGGGTATCCTAAATTTAGCTGTCTTCATCTTGAAATGAAGCTTACAAAAAAAATTCTTTATCTTCAGTAGATACAAACGTGTTTCATTCAGTGTTCTCTGCTGGAGAATGCACAGATATGTTAAAATATGAGGGTTAAGTTTAAGAAACTTTTTTTAAGTTTTGCAGTGAAAGTTTAGGGATTGCATAGGGGTAAAAAGCATAATGCGTTGGCAGTTTGGGTGTAGAAATAGGATTCTCCTGACACCTACTGATGTGCTTTATTTTAAAGGTTATAATGATTTGTGCATTTTTATTGCACAGGTTATCTGGATTTCAGCTTCCGTCATCTATTGTGAGCACAGGATCTATCCTCACCCTTTGTTTCACCACAGATTTTGCTGTCAGTGCTCAAGGCTTCAAAGCTATCTATGAAGGTAAGAACTCTATCCTAAAGACCTGCCACGTCTTTATTCTACTTCATAAGTATTTTTCATGTTGAAAAGTGATGTTTCAATTTTAATTATTTGGGGTTTGAATCATCAGTGAATATTGTATGAAGTTTTTATAGTGTACTCAAATGTTATTACATCATGGGTGTAGTCTTAATTTAAAAGTTTAAACTAATACTTTAATTTCTGCTAGAATTTTTAACTGAATTTATCAGGCTTCCAAAGCTAGATTCAGAAATGCTTACATTTAAACAGTTTTGTTATTGTTTCCTAAATGATTTCTTTTGACAACTTCGTTGACCAGTGCCTAACCAAAGGGGTGTAATGATAAAAATGAGAGGAGATATGGATGCTGGCTGATCTTGAAAATTAATCACTAATCTCCTTGTGGAAAATTAAAACAAGAGCAACGACGACAAAAATACGTGTGTATAAATTTAAAAACAAAACCAAGAAACCAAAGCAGTTGAAAACTGGTTCTGTGGAAGATGTCAGACTACAATGATGACTGCACAGTTCTAAGGAAAAATAAGGCCAAGCATTCCATGTCTTCTAGTTTCTACTAAGAATTAAGTTCATAAAACTGGACTGATACTGTTTCCTTAATACTTCATGAGATCTGCAGCCTTTGTTTGGCAAAATTACCATGTATAGTGGTATTAATCAGTTGCTTAGCATTGTTGAATATTGAGGGTGTTTTGAGTGTAGCTTCAGGATTGCTTTCAAACTAAAAGTGTGGTAGTTTTTTGACTTTGTTTTGCTCTTTTTTTTAACTACGATTTTTTTTATTCATGAAAAATTCAGGGCCGTGAGTACGAGAAGTTGCAGGAGACTTATTTTCAGATTACTTCTCAAATGCAAAACCAGTTTTTCTGTGGTTTCATAGGTGTAATGCTTTGTTGAAAGTGTCTATTCTGGAAAAGCTGTGTACACAGTTAAGTGATAGAATTAAAAGCAAAATATTTTTATCAATGGAGTTGATGTAGGAACTTTGAATGTAAAAAATAGTATCATTTGATTGTAGCTGTTCACTAGGACTAGTATTTGCAAGTGTGTAGATCTGTTACCTGTGATCTCTAAGCTACTTTGATTTTCTGTAAAGTGGTGACCCATGTATCTTCAGATGGTTGATAAACTTTGATTACAATTCTCCTAGAACTATTCAAAGTCCCTTGAAACTTGCCCCTCCTTTCTTTACCATACCTAACTCTGCTCTGTATTGATGCTTATATTTGTTTCATATTTGACTGATGTTTTGAAATGAGTGTTTTTTACCGTATCGTTGGAAATCAATATCCTCATCAAGTGCGTTACCTAAGTGTGAAAAGATAGAGGCGCGGAAGGTGTCATGAGTAACACAAACTCACAAACTTTTTTGGTTTGAGTTTTTTCTGATCAGGATGGGTAGCTCAGCAGTATGTCGTTCCTTGGTAGCTATTCCTCCGTTTCTTTGTCCCCCAAAGCCTTATCACCTCATAAGTCTGCTGATCAGTCTCTTTTTCAGTGATGAGGATTGTGAGGAAAGGCTAGGAAAGTTTCATTTTAAGTCTTTGAAAGTTTTATTAGGTAAGATCAAAAGGAGTATCAGACATCACAAACACACCAGGAACCGTTTTTGTTACCTCAAGAGGAAGTTGCTTTCTACATACCTTATCTCTCTGTTCTAGCAGATGTGTGGGATAGCGTATTTCATCCTTTTATGCAATCCAAGCAGTTTGTTTTTCGTATGGAAAAAGACAGTGAAGAATGCTAAAGGACATCTCTTCACTGTCAACTTACAAACACACGCACAGAGCCACAGGCTGTAATATAATGACACTTCCTGCTGGCCTACTTTCTTGTAAAAATCCCAGCAGGAAAAGCTGTAATTAACATTGACAGATAGCACCACTCGCTGGTTAACCAACACTGCCCCCTTTCAGATTTAGTGCTGTAAACCTGGCGTTGTCCTTGAGCTTTAAATTGACTTCCAAGTATGACATCCAACTCCAGAAGAAACGGAGAATGTCACTCAAGTGATGGCATCTCAGTGTACAGGCAGGCAGTGGGGACTGATGATTCAGGAAGGATTTGTAATAGTAAGGGGTTAGGTGTTTTTTGTGAAGGCTCAGGGTGATTTCTTCTGCAATGGCTGAGTTACTGAAACCTCACAGTTTAAGAACTCCTGTAACTGTTCCCTAAACTACTTGTTTTGTTTCAAAAATTCACTATTTTTGAATAGTGACCTCTTCTGGCTCCTATACCATGTGTGATTTTGGGAGTAGGCAGGTGTTCAGTTCCTCTGGGACAGGGGAATACAGACCAGATGTTACCAGTGACCGGAAGTCTTTGTAATCACTCTACTGGCTACCCATCCCTAAGCTAGTTTGTTTTTACTGAAAATATCTAGTTATCCTTGGTTTTAGCCAGCTTTTTCTTTCTTCTCTGGAGTAAGCGAATTACTGTTCAGCCGGAAGCGTGGAGAGGACTGAAGTGCTACCAACTGTTGCCATCTAAGAGTTTGGGACATGGTGGAGTTGTAATGCACAGTTTGAAAAATGCTGTTTTAAATGTCTTAGTTGGAGAGAAGTTCTATCTGTGTTGTCAGCTGGCAAGGAGGAGACGTTTAAAAAAAAATTACAGGTTTTTTTTTAATGGTACCTGGGGGAATGATTCTGTAAGAGAGATTTTTGTATAGAAGTAGAAAAGTCCACAACATTCAGAAGTCAAGGAGTTCTAGCAGACTGGGAGCAGGAAAAATTAAGCTTTGTGTCACTATGCAAAGGCATGCACAGGAATTGTTCTGGAATTGCACCACCTGTCTCACAGTAGCAGATGAAGTAGGTCTGAAAAATTTAAATATTAGGACTAATGAAGGAACTAATTTACATAAACTTTCCATATTCTAGGAAGCTGTAAAACTAGTGCGTGTGTGTTTTTTAATTCTTGTGACAGGCCACTCTCTTCTGAGTAGGAAAATTTTGTCTATTTAGGATTGTTACCTTCATGCAGTTAAAAAAATTATTAGTGTCTTCAGAGTTAGCTCTGGTATTGAAAGTCAGTATTTTAAATACGATCATGTGGGCAAAAAGCTAGTGTTCTGACAACGATGATTCAATCTCATAAGATTTGATACTGGGCTAGATTCTCTGCTGTGCTGAGCTTCTGGTTTGCTGAGCAGCGAGGATGCTGTTGGGAAGTTTCTTCACCATTGCCGTCTGCAGGATGCTGCTCTTAACTTAAGCTCCCTGGGGGCCGAGGGTAGGGTGCTGAACCAGGAAGGCAGGCATAGAAACCCCTTCAAGACCTACTGAACAGCGTCTGAAGTTACACCCGCACTGGTATTCCTAGCAAAGAGACAATGCTGCATCCATTTCCTGGGCTGAGGTGCTCATCTATGCTTTTTATTGAGTATATTCTTGATTTATGACCTCGCTTCCTGCACAGCAATGACATGGCTGGATCGTTTGTGTTTTTACAAATAGGTTATATTGGTTGTGTTTTTATAAACAGATTAACAGTGAAGCTAGGAAACCACATTCCATCACTCTAAGCCCTTGAAGATTATTTGTACCTATCTCTTAGCCTGCTGTCACCCATATACCACGTGAATATTTTAATAGTAACTACATTTGATTTTGTGGCAGTAGACCAGTGAGAGCCATCTAGTTTTAACGAGACACTGATGCAATTTGGCAGTTGCTGAGTTCTTGGGCTGAAATATAGGTTTCTTTACTATATCATTACTTTGCTAGAGTTATATGTCCATTTCTGACAGTCTCTAGTATTTTTAACCGATAATATTTCAGTTTTCCTCAGTGATCACATCAGCACGCTAAACTTTTGATACAGATGGAAGCTTGAATTATCTTATTTTCTGGGAATAAGATTATCTATGGAATTTTCAAACACATGATTATATCAGTGAAAAGAAGTACAAATTTCCAAAGTAGTAAATTCAGGTTACAGAATCTGTCAGCTTATTCTGCTAAATGATTTCTTGACCATTATAATCACTTTTCAGTATTATTAAATCTAAGTTTGAAGCAATGGCATTGGGGAGTTGAGGGATAGATTCTGTTTCTGAAATGAGTGGTTGTTTTTTAATTGACAGTGCTTTCACATCATGTTTAGGCTTTGTGGGGAGTGTGCAGGGAGAATAACAAAGTATTTTTGTCCATTTTTGTTTAATTCTCTGTTAAAATAATTTTAATTCCTATTTTCTAGAATGAGATAAACTCTTTTAAAAAAACGTGCTTTGAGGGCTACAGACAGAAATAAAAATTCAGCATTGCTATATCATTGTAGTAATTTTCTTTGGAAAGTCAGAAGTATTCCTCCCATACAGAAGATTTGCATATGGTTGGAAATATAAAAAAACCCACTCTTTAAATGACAGCAGTATCTGTCATGATACACAAATATACTCAATTTGAGTAACGCGTGGTTGAATTGTTATATGATCTCTTTTCTACTAAACTAGTGTATCCTGTCATTGAGGAAATCCAGTTGTCGAGTGCGGAAGATTCAGCAAAAGTAGAAAAGCTTAATTCGAAGTACATTGTTAGTCATCAATGTCAAATGAAATGTCGCTTTTTAGCTTGTGTTTTGCTACACTAGCGTCTGCCACTAAACATTAAACTGTCCTCAGCGGTTAACAATCCTTGGTTCATTTTAAGGTTTCTTGATTTATTTTTTTTTGTGGTTGTTCTTTTGTCTCTAAACAAATTTTATATTGTAGAATTGGTGGACAGTGTTTAAACAGTAAACCAGATGTTCTGGACTTGATGTGTGCTAGTACCTTTCCTTGACCTCTGTTCTACAGCAGCAGGTTTTCTTTGCTAAAGGAAGAGCTCTTGCAGGTCCTTCTATCCTGCCTGCCCTCAGGGCATACTTCTTTTTTTCTTTTGTTCTTTGAATTCTCAAAGCTTTCTGCTCACACCCAGCATTAACATTTATACTAGCAGTCACCTCATCCTGCCTTATGCATGTTCCCTGAAGCTTCT